AGGCTCTCAACATAAATCTTTGTGAAAATCTTAAGAAACTCTCCTTAGCCTGAAACGTAAGACCTGAAGTCTGGGCTTATACTGGCTATACCTCAGAAATTTTAACCTCTGATATCACCTGACCTTTCCCCTCCATGTTAGATTAACTATTTTTGTTATTTTTGAAGTTCAAAATGCCTCAAGTGCCATGTAAGTGGTTTGAGTTAAAGCATGATCCCAACCTTTCCCTCAGGTTCCTGGGCTGAGCCAACAACCAAAATATCATACTGTGACAGGGTGGGACAGCCAGAGGTCTTCAGCAAAGAAGAAAACACATTACTAGGGTGGCTTAGTCACAAAAAGAAAGGAAAATGGAGGGGAAATCGTGCCTCTGAGGGAGGGAAGAGGATGGGGAGCTGCTCTGCTTTGGGGATCGAGAGATTGAGCATTTTAAGGGCTTTACAGGAAAGGAAAGTTCTTCCTCTGAAAAAAGCCATTCAGAATGTTGCATCTGTGGGGGAGAGTTGTCCTCATCAGACAATTCTCCTCCGTGTCTGAGTTCCCAGAGAAAATGGTAGATGAGTCCTCCTGTCTCAGGTGGTTCCAGTAGAATCTAGATAGGAGTAGTTCAAAACCCAAAAACGTTTTTAAAGGTTTGAACAAGCCATCTCAAGGACAGTCTGTAAACCATAGTCAGGGCCAGTGTAGAAATTCACTAGTAATAAAAAAACAAACCCAGGAAAAAAGTGAAGCAAGGCTAGGTTAGGGTCTACTGAAAGAGAGAAAAAAAGTTTTTCGGTGGGAGGGTTTATAAAAAGGTGTGTGAGGTTGTTTTAGGGTCAGGTGATAGTGCAGGTAAGTTATGTGCCTAATACCCTCCCCACAACGTTAGCCTGAGTTTTGCCAGGGGTACCATGAGCGGCAGGAAGGAAACGCAGAGGGGCCCTGGGGGTAAGGCAAAGGAGAAGACTAGAGGGGCAGAGGGGAGGGGGGAGGGGAAAGCTGCGGCTCTCCCCGCACCTAAGCACAGGGCCACAACTGAGCATCCTGGCACCACTCCGACCTCTGGCCAGGGTGGTGCTGGCGTGAAGATACCGCGTGTGTCTCTCTTCGCCATCTTTAAGGATGCTTCTGGGGTGGTCCCAGCAGAGGTGCCTGTAGGTGCTGGCACTGGGCAGGGGTCTGCTGCTCAGGCAGTTCCTCCTCCAGCCATTGGGACTCAGCGGCAGGAGGAGGGGCAGCAAGGGCAGTCCATGGGGTTGAGCTTTGGGGACACTCTGTTCTCAGGGCTCACTCCAAGGACTAAGAGGACTCTAGAGGAATTGGAGGAGGAGCTGGGTGACCTGTCCACTCCTCTGGTGCCTCAAGGCCTCAGCAGGCCTCCTGTGGGGGGGAGAGGAGGCTGGGACAGGAGAAAGAGGAAAAGATGGAGGTGGTGCGCCCCAAGCACCTGCCATCTCAACCCCTTCCCCCTGCTCAGTTTTCTCTTCCTGCCCCCTCAGGACACGATGTGTCTGGCCCGAAGCCCCTCACAGGAGACGGCTCTGGGGAAGCCCATGGCCGCTGGTCGGCATGGGTGTTCCTTCACCTCTGGAGTCTGGAACCACTTCCAGGTCGTCTCAGAGAATCCCCGTTTTGCGCAGTGCCAGCTGTGTAGGGCCCAGGTAAGCCGAGGGAAGGACATTGCCCATTTCTTGACCTCTGGGCTTCGGAACCATCTGAAAAAGCACCACCAGGCGGTGCTTCTTTAGGAGGAGAGACAGGCTGCTGCTGGAGTGCCCAGGCGGCCACCACCAGCCAGCCAGGAGATGAGTCATCTGACCACCTCCAGCGCTCCCCTTGCGTGTTCCGAGGTAGGGACAGGGCAGGGACGCCAAACATCTCTGATGGAGATGTTTGGCGACGTCGGCAGTAGAGTGCCTAGGGGTGGGAAGCAACAGGCCAGCAGGAAGGTCACTCGCCTTCTTGCTGAGATGATTGCCATAGACGGGCACCTCTACTCCGCAGTTGAAGACATCGGTTTCCGCAGGGTGCTCCAGTATGCCTTTCCCTGGTACACGCCCCCTGCTCGCACCATGATGAGCAGGACCGTGATGCCCTCATTGTTCAGGGCTGCCAGGGACCACGTGAAGACACACTTGTCCCGCGCTTGTGGGAGATATGTGCACTTCACGTCCGACATATGGACCTCCTGTAAGGCGCATAACTCGTACATCTCAGTTACTGTGCACTGGTGGCAACCAAGCAAGGTTTTGGGTGGGGGAGGGCAACCTAGTGACAGGCAGGGTCAGGGCCGCCGGGCCGGCTACCACAAGGCTCTGCTTCACATCGGGAGACTCGATGGGTCGCACACGGCGGACAACATTCAAGTTGCCATCAATAGTCAGTTCGACGAGTAGGTAGGCAGGGGCATCACCAAGGGCTTCCTGGTGACCGATGGCGGCTCAAATTTTAGGGCAGCGGCAGAGCAACTGGGCCTGAAGCGCATTCCCTGTGCAGCCCACCTTACCCACCTCGTGGTTAAGGATGCTCTGGGGTTGGGTTCTGCAAAGGATCCCAATCTGGACACTGCGACTCATGAGTTCCGGCATATCCTCGAGAAATGCCGGTTCATCACGAGTCAGTTCTCATGCAGTACGAAGGACCTCTATCTACTGCGCAAGAAGCAGGTCTGGCAGGCCTGCTGGAGCACGGCCTACTAGGCGACATCTCCACTCGCTGGAACTCCACCTGCGTCATGCTTGAACGCTTGGTGGAGCAGGAGAGAGCCCTGACTGCCCTGATCTCTGACAGTGGGGTCATTCAGGAAGAGAGCCGGCTCAACCGCGAGGAGTGGTTGACCATCTCTCAGGCTGTGGAAGCTCTTAAGCCCTTAAAGACCTTCACAGAATTGCTCTTGTCTGACACGGCGGGCTTGGCTTTTGTCATCCCCATGGTCCTCGTGGTCCATGAGGCGTTGGCATCGTTTCTGAAGCCACCTGCAGGACGTGCAGACATTCTTCCAGCGGTGTGAGCCCTGGTGAGAAGGCTGCAAAGTTCACTGCAGAGGCGCTTTGAGCCTATCCTCCAGGACAGGATCTACATGATGGCGACCATGCGTGATCCGTGCATAAAAGGCAAGATCGTCGAGCAGGCCAACAAGTTAACTCGATGGAGGAATCTTCTCTCCAAGTGAGTTGGCAAGATGCGAGCCAAGATGGGCATGTCGTCAGGAGCTGCAAGAGGGGAGGGTGCCAGCACCTTGAGTGCTGTTCATCCTCCACTTCCCCTGCAAGGCAGCGTCCCCCTCACGGCTCCCACCACCACGAATCCTGAGATGGCATTCATGGGGCGGATCCTTGGCCCCTCTGGGAGCGGAGATCACACGAGAGAGGACACGGCGGCTGCGATGGTGAGGGATTACCTCGCAGAGCCCTACGAACTGGAGTCCACCTGTCCGCTTAGCTACTGGGCCATGAAGGAGGCAGTCTGGCCGGCCCTCTCTGCCGTGGCCCTGAAGCTACTCTCGTGTCCTCCAACGAGCGTTCAGAGTGAGCGCGTCTTTTCCCATGCGGGCGACATTGTCTGCCTACATCGCTCTTGCCTGAGCCCCTGGTCAGTTGAGCAGTTGGTCTTCCTGAAGGTCAACTTGCCACTGTTCGGTTTCCCGGAACTAGACTATGAAGACTGAAGTGAGGACATCCTTGTGCCTGCAATCCTCTCTTGGTCTGTGCTGGGAATTTGGGCCACGCTCGTCCCATGATTAAAACTAGATGCTAGGGCAAAGTAGCAGCCAGGGCCATGACCATTTTGATTGGCACAGAAATGCCCCACCAATCTCCCCACTTCCATCCATCCCACCTGCAGCAGAAATACCTCAACAGACCCTGTGGGTTACCGTGCAGTGCAGGGTGATGTTGAGGGTGGTGCATGTATGTACCTAAGTTCCACGGCCAGCAGCCACCCCAACCAAAATTGCATGCTGAAAATAATAAAACAGGACTTCCGGGTTTACAGCGTGATGGTGCGGGTGTGGCTCAGGACGCTCCTGAGTTCACTCGTCCTTTTTTGCTTTTTTGGTCCATTTGAGCTGGCGGGGACTCACCCAAACTCCTGGAGGGAGCCTGGGCAGCAAGAGACTTTTTCGGCCACCCCACAGATGGTGGTTTGTGGTGGTGAGAACGTTTTGTCTCAAGGCAGAAGCAGGAAATGGAGCAGAGCATGGTCACCATACTCTGCATTAGTCGTGACCGCCCATTTTAAAGACTTTTTGGATATTCGGCATGATATAATGTGCAGTATGAAAAAAGAAGAATTGAGCACTCCAAGCAAAAACTAAAATAAATGGATTTGTAATTAAATACCCCAGCATCGAAATACCCAGAAACTGAAAGGAAAGTGGCTGAGAACAGAACAAGGCTAAAGAGCATTTAAAATATGGCAGGGGTAAGAAAACTAATTTGTTCCTTTTAAAATACTACTGATTATAGACCATGACTTAAAAAATTTAAGCTACATAACCCTGGAATCTTGTTAGGCATTGCGGTAGAGATTACAAGGTCTGAGGGAAGCTTAGCCAATTATTATATAATGTAGACCCAGTCACATTAGAGCCTACTTTAGGAGCTCCCCAGTCACCAGAATCTAAGCGCGGTAGCATACATCAAAAATTGCATAAGAACTAGCATTTTGAAATATCGCTTGCAGCACTTCATTCTAATGAAGAAATAATTACAGAATGACAAACCTGATGAAGAACACGCAAACGAATAGTGTACTAGAACTCCGTCGTTTGTATGTACTGCTAAGCTTTATAGCATATATTGTAGTGTTATTGTTGCAATCTTGTTAATAATTGAATTCTAAACATTGCATATAAAAACCAACAAATATTGTTTAATTGTACACAGTGATTTACTGTTTTACTGGCTTAGAATACATGTGGCAACAGGACAGAAAAATCCCAACATAATTAAATGGAGACAGAGTGAGAAAATAGCTGCCTACGCCATGGCAGTATTGTATTCAATTGTTTTACATACCTATGGCAGGATCTGGATATGGCAGTTCTTTAGGACAACTGTAATAAGCCTCCAGACGGAAAGGTTCCTTTCGGTAGAACGTGAGAACCTTGGAGAATGGTGCAGCATGATTCTTAGGGAAGACTTCACAATCACTGCAAAAACACAGATAGTCAATATACAAGCATATTTACTTAATGTAGTTATAAACTACAGTTAGAGATGAATTTTATATTACGTAGGCAAAGTATTTGCTATAGAACGCTATTTGCCAAATGGCACTAATTTGTGGGAAATCACAACTTAAAATAAAAACTGTTACTTTAAGCAATTTCAAAAGATAAGGATTTAGCACTCACGAAGTTGCACATGAATATCCACACAAATGCTTGATGATTAGCTATTACTGTTGGCTATATGTTCTATGGCAGAATGTGCCTACTCCGGCCTGCAGGCCCTATTCCACTCTGCCCTCCCAGGTGTTTCCCCACACCTGGAGAGACTTTTCTTCCACTCTCAGGGTAGCCACCACCACCACCTGGCCTTTGTAAGGAATTACCCCCTGGGAGGGTCAGGGCTCCCAGCTTCCCTTCCAAGCTCTGAGGTCATGACTCTGTGTCTCCCGTTGCCCAATGCCTAGTCACCACGGGGACAGATTACTGCCTTGTACACCCCTGGAGGAATAGCCGCTTGCCAACTACCAGCCTTCCCCCCTCCTGGCGCTCCTTTTAAAATAGTTTGTCTGAGACAGTGTTGGTCTATGTGGTACAGAGAACCACTCCTAGCATCCAAAGTTACTACCTATTTATTAAAAAGAAAATGTTTATAAGCATACTTTTAAGCACAGCCCCAGATTTGAGCACAGGATTTAAAAAAAAAAAAAAAACAAGGGCAAAGACGCAATCCTCTGTCCCATCTCACTATACATGCCCTATCAGATGTTACAATAGGACAGGCTCTTTAGAAGATTTCTTCTCTTTAGAGATTTATAACATCCTAAACTTAAAGAGCTTCCATTACCTCACAGCTGTCTGTAGCTCTGTGGGCAAGCACATGGCTGCCTTCCCAGAGGAGAGATCTGTGTGCACTCATGGCCTCAACACCAAAGGAAAAGAAGAGCTTCCTCCTTGCTCCCCTGAGTTTTATCATCTCTGTTTCCCCACCCACTGACCTGGCCAGACCAGGTCAAAGAGGTACTTCCTGGAGCCTTGCTAGCCTAAAGTCCTCCAAATCTATGTCCCCTGCTTAGAGATTAGGGAGAGACCTTACCCCACCCATTATCTCTCTTACTAGATCTATTAGCATGTGAATGAAGGTGAGCAGAGGTGTATCTGGCAAGCAATTGCACAGACTTCTCCCCCCTTCTTGCCTGTTTTCTGCGTAGAGAGGAAAAAAACTGTTAAAACACAATGGAGGCTTTTGTGCCTCTCAAACCGTCCAGGCAAAAAAATGCATTTCTTCACAAGTTCTATACAAGTACTTTGAAGCTTTTACCTTGCTCCTTCTTCTGCTGGGGAATTCCATGTCAAAGAAATAGGATATGGTACCAAATCTGTGATAGAAAATTCTCTCACTTTAAAAGCTGGGGATAAAATAGCACACTGTAAGAAACAAAATATTAAGTTTAGTTGTGTCAGATAAAAGTACACATCAGCTGTAAGGTCAACAGCTTGCTATTAAAAATATATTTTGAGGCCTGAATTTCAAACATCCTGCCCATGTGGATCCTCGTCCCATGCAAGTTTATCCAACACTAAGTCTAATTAATTCATTATAATTCACTTCCCAGAAAGGCATAGGATTTCAGTTTTAGTCCAAATAACTTCATGCTTCTGTTCATTTGTGTGTGGGATGGGTAGAAAGAGGGCAAATATGTTATATAATAATTAAGGGTCATAAGTAGAACACTTATTGTATTGGACATAACTATTCCAGCTATGTTGTACCTTGTACTACATCATGTTCCATGCAACCGTCTGCAAGATTAAAAGTCAAACAGAAAGACATAGCACTATGAAAGGAGCTAGAAATGGATCCAGGAAGATTATACTAGCTACAGTTTAAGGTACAACCTGCAATTCAGATCCTTAGATTACCGCAGCAGTGGTACTGATTTTCCTGTATCATTTATTCCCTTCAGTGTCTGGATAATCTTGGGCTGCTGCTAACTGAATGAAACACTCAAATTAGCAGCAGCAACAGCTCCTATGGTGGATTCTATTCAGCAGTAATGGAAGGTTCCTGCCTCTCCCAACAGCCACCTGCAGCCCTCAAAGCCATGAACACAGAGGAAAAACAGCACTATGCTTGACCCCTTATCAGCACAGCCCAGAACTGCCTTTAGCACAGGCAGCAGTGGCTCACTACAGCAAGTCACTGTGCAAAATTTTTCATGCATGCAGGTCCCCCAAACCTCAGCATCACCTTTTTCAAGGCTCATAAACTGCTGCTGGGATAAGGGGGACAACGAGAAAAGTTTGACTCTGTCAGTGCCTTTGACTGGTGCTACACAGAATCCTGTCGTAATGTGCAAGCCATTGTTGTTACCTGCAATGCACAGCCTCGAGCAACAGCTTCATCTGCATTCAAAGTTGTACTGAGTTCTTTACCAAAAAATTTACTGATACGCTCTTTTATAACAGGTATTCTTGTAGTCCCTCCTACTATTTCTACTGCATAGATATCTTCCTTCTTTAACTCTGTAAAAAAAAAAGACACTTGAGACATCTAAAGCTGAGCACAAACAGGTATTATCAGCTCCACTTTGTCCACTCACACTGTGAAAGTCTCACATCAAAGGGAGCAGCAGCTGCCAATGAAAGCCTTCAATAGTTTCTTAATGAAAACATGCAATTGAGGAAGCATATCCCACGCTGAGCCCTTGTTTTTGCCAACGTAAAGGACAGCATACAATATTCGGCCTATTCCATGAATATTTTTGTAAAAAGAATAGGCCTTGAGACTACAGTCCTGAAGCATGAGGTGCTTGGCATCTAAGTCTAGCCACTTAGAAGAGCTATTACTGCTAACATTTTCAATATATACATTCTTTTACTATTTGTTTCAGAGAACAGTTATTCCCATACATAATGTTCTGGGCAGCAAAAGTTGAACTTACTAGCTTGCTCCAAGACACTGCGAAGAGGTGGTTCTATCCTAGCCAAAAGGTCATCACACATTTCTAAGAATTTGCTCCTGGAGTAGAGAGGAGAAAGAAGGTTTCATTGTCTTTTATGATAAAAGCAAAATATTGAATAGTATACAGTTCATTGGAAAGTCTTAAACTATTAAAATGGTATATACTGGAGAATAACAGAAAAATATGTATAAAAACAAGGGCTTGGACCCCACCTAGCTTTTTGCAGAGCCAAGAGTGTGCGTGATTTTTGCCAATGCTGCAGCTATTCTTGGGGGTCCCCCCTCCCTCACACCCGGCATTTCAAGATATGCTTTGAGCTGCCACAGGAGGAAGGAATTAGTGACCCCCTTTTTGGAAAATGCAAGTCAAGTAAGCTATAAAGAGGCTTCTTTTAAAAAGTGGAAGGTCTGCTCTAATGAATTCAGCAGCAGCAGGATGGACTACAGGCTCTGGCAAAAGAAATGTAAGTCAATAATTAGGCATGCAAAAAAGATTTTGAGGAGCACGCTGCTAAAAGCATCAAGACAAACAAACATTTTTTTAAAATATATCTGGAGCAGGAAATCAGACAGAGAAGCAGTGGGGCCTTTGGGTGACAAAGGAATAAAGGGATTGCTGAAGGAAAATGGGGAGATGGCAGAGAAGTGCAATTACTTTTTTGCTCCTGTTTTCACTATGGATTGTGTGCAGCATGTAACCATGCCACTGCCACTATTTTCACAAAGGAAGTTTAAGAACTGAGCCACATTAAGCTAACCAGAGCTGACATTCTAGACCTACTGTGGAAATTAAAAACCTGCAAGTCTCCAGGTCCTGATAGCATACACCTGAGAGTTCTTAAGGAACTCAAGTGTGAGATCACTGATCTACTAACCCATATATGCTTCCTCTAAGCTGTGGAGTCTTGTGAGCAAAAATTCCACCTTGTGAGCTACTGGCATTAAAGTTGTGAGCGAGCGATTTGGCTACTGCATAAATTAGTTTGCTCTGGAGCCATCCTTCCTGAGCTAAGACAAAAATGTGTGAGCCAGAGGCTAAAAAACTGTGAGCTAGCTCACACTAACTCAGTTTAGAGGAAACACGGTATTGTAGCCTATCACTAAATTCAGCCGTTGAACCAGAAGACTGCAGAGTAGCAAATGTGACACCAATTTTTAAAAAGGGATCCAGAGGGGAACCAGGAAATTACAGACCAGTCAGCCTAACATCAGACCCAGGCAAATTAGTAGAAACTGTAACCCAAGATAAAATTGTTAGGCAAATATAGGAACAAAGCCCACTAAGGGAAAATCTGCATGGCTACTGCAAAGGGAAGTCCTGCCTCACCAATCTTTTGGAGTTCTTTCAGAAAGCAAACGAGCATGTAGAAAATGGTGACCTGGTAGACATTATATACATGGACTTTCAAAAGGCTTTTTGACAAGGTACCTCACCAAAGACTCCTGAGTAAATGTAAAAATCATGGAATAAGAGGACAGGTTCTCTTATGGATTAAAACTGGTCAAATGACAGAAAGCAAATCAATGGACAAATCAATGGACAAATCAATGGACAGATCTCACAATGGCGGGAGGTAAGCAGTGGGGTCCCACAAGGATCAGTATTAGAGTCAGTACTATTTAATTTATTCATCAATGCTCTGGAAACTAGGGGTGAGTAGTGTAGTGGCCAAGTTTGCAGATGACACCAAATTATTCAGAATGGTGAAAACCAAGGCTGATTGTAAATAGCTCCAAGAGGACCTCCACAAACTGGGTGAGTAGGCCACAATGTGCCAAACTAAAATTCAGTGTTGGTAAGTCTAAGGTGATGGACACTGGAGCAAATAATCCCATCTTCAAGTATAAGCTAATGGGGTCTGAACTTGCTAAGACTGAGAGGGAAAAAGACCTTGGGGTCACAGTGGATACCTCAATGAAAGTGTCAACCTAGTGTGCGGCAGTGATGAAAAAGGCAAACTGTATTAGGGATTATTAGGAAAGAGACTGAGAATAAAACAGCCAATATTGTAACCAGTGTTCCCTCTAAGCTGTGTTAGGGTGAGCTAGCTCACAGTTTTTTAGACTCCAGCTCACAGATTTTTGTTTTAGCTCAGGAAGGATGGCTCCAGAGCAAACTAATTTATACAGTAGCCAAATCACTCACTCATAACTTTAATGCCAGCAGCTCACAAAGTAGAATTGTTGCTCACAAGTCTCCACAGTTTAGAGGGAGCATTGATTGTAACCCCTGTATAGATCTATGGTGCGGCCTCATTTGGAACACTGTGTACAGTTCTGGTAACTCTCTCTCAAAAAGGATGTTGCAGGGCTCGAAAAAGTACAGAGGAGGGCAACCAAGATGATTAGGGGGTTGAAGCACCTTCCCTATGAGAAAAGGCTGAGGAGCCTGGGCCTCTTCAGTTTAGAAAAGAGATGACTAAGGGGGGACATGGTAGAGTTTATAAAATTATGCACGGGATGGAGAGAGCTGACAACTCTTTCTCCTTCTCCGAAAATACTAGAACTTGAGGGCATCCAATGAAGCTGATGGGCAGTAGGTTCAAGATGGACAAAAGGAAATACACAAAGCGTGATTAAAATGTGGAATTTGCTGACAAAGGATGTGGTGATGGCCACAGAAATAAACAGCTGTAAAACAGGATTAGACAGATTCACGGAGGATAAGGCCAGCCATGGCTACTAGCCATGGTCACTGAGGGGAGCCTCCATATTCAGAGGCACTAAACCTCTGCATCCCAGAGCCAGGAGGCAACACCAGGGGAAGGCCTTGGCCTCTATGCCTTGTTGTTGGCTCTCCAGAGGAACTGGTTGGCCACTGTGTGAGACAGGGTGAGACAGGGTACTAGACTAGATGAACCATTGATCTGATTCAGCAGGGCTCTTCTTATGTTCTTAAATCTAGGCAGGATCCAAGCCAAGTATTTTTCAATGTTATATTCCTTTGTTGTCTTTTGCATATGATGAAGACACATGTCAATTATTTCTTTGCACAAAAGTTCTACAACAATCGGCTGCATGGCAAAAAGTCCCGTAGGAACATGGAAGATGTAAAAAGCAAGCTGCCCCATAGTTTAAACAATACGTCCCCTATACCAGGCAATGTTCCCTCTAAGCTGTAGAGTCTTGCGAGCAAAAATTCTACTTTTTGAGCTACTGGCATTAAAGTTGTGAGCAAGCGATTTGACCACTGCATAAATTAGTTTGCTCTGGAGCCATCCTTCCTGAGCTAAGATAAAAACGTGTGAGCTGGAGACTAAAAAACTGTGAGCTAGCTCACACTAATTCAGCTTAGAGGGAACACTGATACCAGGTCATACAGGGATCACAATTCAATTAACCATACAGCTGAAATACTGAGCTACCGAAATACTGAAGTAGTTTCTGTGTTTTTACTGAATTTTATATTTTAAAATGTTTTTAATTGCTCAAATGTTCTAATGTTTTTATGCATGCCACCTTGGGGACCCTGATCTGGTGGAAAGGATGCATAAAAATGTTAAATAAATACTCAGAACAGCCAAGTACATATTTATCACTGAAATGCAGCCCTACACTTTGGATTAATTGCTTAGGTTTCTGCTGTATATGGAAAGACATTGTTAAGAAAACTTCAACCCAAATGCTGTGCTCTTATGAGAAAACAATAAAGGAAATTATTTACTTTTAACAGAAACAATGCTTGGAAATCATGACTACTGCCATGTTAGCCTTCCCCTTCCAAAAGTCTCAATTATAGGACTTACTATTTCTTTTTACTACTGTTTGGCATGCAGTAGGGTATATTCAGAAGGTTATAATTGTGTCCCATAAAATCACTTACACAAATACATTTAATTGGATCCAATATGTGTTGTGGGCCCTGAAATGTCACTGCTGAGGCCTTGGAAACTTTGCAGAACAACATTTTAATTAATATAGGGGAATATACAAGCAGAGGAAGCTCCACACACAGAGCAAAAGCTTGAACTGGAGAAGCAGGAGAATACCCCTTTCTTGCTGCAGCTACAGATGCTACATGGCATATTATTCTGGACAATTCCCCTCAAGGCCTCAGAAGCCGCTTTTCAGGGTGCAAGAGCATACAGAGGGTGAAAAAGAATGCAGTGAAAGAAAATTGCTTCATATGTAGAAGCCTTGACGTCAACTGAAATATGTAAATCCCACCTTTATAAAATTCATTTTGTTGTTTACATCATTTAAGAACTAAAGTAGTGCTCTCCTGAAGGTTCTCTATAAACAGTAAGTTGTTGAAGCAAGAAAAATATTTTGTTCTGAAATTAAGAGCTACTTTTCACATCCCACTTTCCATTGGCCCTTAGCCTACTAGGTATGAATAGATTTGTAGCAAAAGAGACAAGGTAGAATGTTCACCTTAATAAAGGAGACAGATTTAAGAAATAAATTCTATCTAAATATTAAAATAGGGTACCTGTTCATAGTCCCAGAAACATCAATATCGTTCATGAAGCATTCTATATTCATTGGCAGATCAGAGGCATTTGCACTCATCAACTTCTTCAGTTTCTCGCATTCCTGAGACAGCCTCAACAGTGCACGGATTTTGGACTTTACATCTAATTTATATTTCTTCCCAAATTCTTCACAAAAATAATTTACTAACACTTCATCAAATTTCCTGCCACCAAGGGTGCTATCAAATGCTGTTGCAAGAACCTTCATAATAAAGAGGATCAAAGAATGTCAATTAGTTACCTCTCAGAAATCACAGGGCTGACTGAAAATCATTGTTACACACAAAGTTCTATGAAGCAATTGTAGAGCAACAGTGATACCATATCTCAAAGACACAACTCAAAAAGCCCCCTTCCCAATTACCACCACACTTTTTTAATCAACTTGCCAGCTTCAAAGCTTGTGTCAACAGCTCTGGCCAATGACAAAGCAGCCTTTCACATACTTGACATAGCCACTGTCTTTCCAAAGACCTTTGCATTTTAACTCAAAGAGTTTTTAAATAATATTTTGATGCCTCCATTACAAGGAATGGAATGTGAGTCCCCTGTAAGTCAGCTTTTTACTCATATTTGACCTGAGACTATTCATGAATGTAAGTTCTGGCCGCTACTGAACTATACTTTTTAAGCCTATTCAAAAGTATGTAAAGTTGCCTCAACTTTTTTGTTATGGTCTGTATCTCTTTCACAAACCAGTATTTGGTATACACTTGTAGCAGTAAAGAGTGAGAGTAGGGTTTTATATATCCTGCTAGCTGTTCTGCCTTCTCTCATCTCGCATTTGAACCATGAAAAAGGAGTTATGATACTGCCCTATGAGCATATTTATTGCCTATGCACTGCGTTTCTGACATTTCAATTTGGCCTTTTCATGTTGTATGGCTATAAGCCAGCGATGTAACTGGATAGGACTCGTTCATTTCTGGAAATGTATGACTTGCTGACTAACAAGAATTCATGGATTTCCTACAAGTAGAAAACATTCAGAAGGGGAAAAAAGGTGCAGCTATTCCTCAAGCCAATGTGATGGTTGAATTTTAAGTTATCTTCACATACCAACACTTGGCTACTTCTCTGTTATACCATACTGGCTAAATGAGGAATGCCCCCTTAAACATGTAGTTAACCCTTACCTTCAGCTTCCCCTTGTTGAATGCACAGACAGAAACCTGATAAGATGAATGCCCGATGTCAACGAATACCACATTTCTTGGTTTCTCTTCAGGTGCAGGCAGATCTTGTTTATAAATTCCATATGCCAAAGCAACTAAAGAAAGAATTCAGATCTCGATTAGTAGAAGTCATTCCTGTTCTTTGCAAGGTATACAATTTACAAAACAGTTTACAATATATAACACAATTATCCAACAAAATTAAGATGTTTACAAATGGTACTTATTACAAATACAAGTACCATATGAACATATGAGGCTGCCTTATATAAAGTCAGATTGCTGGGTATCTAATTTGGTACTGTCTACTCTCACTGGCAGCAGCTCTCCAGGGTCACAGGCACTGAATTCGCTCAACACTTGATTATTTGAGATCTTTTAACTGGACACAGATTAAATCCTGAGGCCTTCATCATGAAAATAATGGGATCTTTCACTGACCCACATTCTATCCCCCATCATAGCATAGGATGCTATGCAGTTTTAATAGACATACCTAGGAATGCTGCAAAATTCCCTTGAGATTAAAGAATTTTTTAAGGAATGCAACTCAAAAACCAGATTTCCCTGCTTAATAAAGTTCAGATGAAGCTACAAAAAAGCACAAGAAGTAAAAGAACTCCCCCTATCCTCAGTTATTTAAGTTAAAGCAACAAAAACAACAGACAAGGCAACAGTCTTCTATTTTACATGGCATCTAGAGAACGAACATAAACTACCATTGTGATTGTATATCCAAGTGCTGACTATATATGAACTGAGAGCTGAGTTCAAAGTTTTTTGTAGAGATAATTCATACACATCCAGGTAATATTACTTTCACACTATACCTAGAATAAGTCTAAGTAGTTTTATTAAGAGACCTCTTCCTTTGAAGCCAATACCAACATTGGAATAAATTTTGAAAAAACAGAACCTGATTGCTGGAAGATTTATGGGAAAAAACACTGTACTTTATATTATTTGGACATGAAGTAGCTACCTGTAGTTGTTTCATTAATTAATCGCAAACAGTTGAGTCCAGCAATTTGTGTAGCATCTATCAGAGACCTCCGCTCTGCATCAGTGAAGAAACAGGGAACCTACAAGACACAAACCACTTTAAAAAAAGACAACCCTTCTTCCAAGCCCTCTGACAAGATTGCCAATTTTTTAGACCAATTTTTAGGAATTAAGATAAAGCCTCAGAGTAGCTATGGCTGCGGTCACACGGAACAGAAGCCACACAAGTGAGACGGAAAACAGGTGGAGTTTCCAGGCACGATCTCACCAGCACATCTGGGAAGCGTAGCACTCCCGTGGCTCAACCGAGGCTTCCAGCCGAAACTGCGTGGCAAAAAACTAGTACCTCGGAGGTACTAGTTTCCGGAAACTGCGGGGCAAGGGCGGGCGTCTGATCGCGTTTCCGGTGGCATCCGGCGCCCGCCCATGCCCCCTTGCAAATAAGGTGGGTTTTTTTTGTCCAAGTCTCTGTGGATGCGCACGCGCACCCAACGGAGCATGCGCATTTGTCATGTACACACAAAAACAAAACAGTTTGCCGCGGCGCGCACTACTTCGTTGCGCGCCAGCTTGTCCTGTGATCGGCACCTCTCCCTTGTCATGGAACCTCCACGGTACCTCCACAGGAGGTCTGATCACGTAACTGCGCAGTAGTTTGCCCCAGGGCAAACAGCCACGCTTCTCCCCCGCAGTTTCCTGCCCGTGTGACCGGGGCCACAATGAAGCAAAGAAAAAGAGTTTAAGCAATTAAATACAAATCACTTCTCAGTTTAGCTACTAAGCATAATTGCTTAAAATAAATTTCAGGCACTTGTTTATTATAAGGCTGACATCATGTTGTGGTTCATACATCTGGCTAAAAGCATAGCATCAACTGATATAACTGTCTACTTAGAATCACAGTATAATACATGTCTGCTCCTCAACTGGAGGAGCAATCTTAAAAATTCATTTTCTACTTAAAGATCTAAGAATAGTTTTGAAGAAGCGTTCAGCAAATGCAATTTTATACCCTCTAAGAATTCAGAGAACCCAATATACCAATTGATATAACAATATTATCAGTTGCTAATTAAAAACAAAAAAAGCCTTCCAGTGGCAGTTGGAGGGAATGGCCTCTGCAGGGACAAGAAACATAGTAGCTGTGTGGGCAGTACTGGGAAAAGCCAAACTTTCCTAGCCACATGGCAACCATCCAGGCTTTGCTGTGATCTTCCCCAAAACTTCACAGTAAAGCAAGTATGGGAAAAAACAGAGAAAGCTGAGGAACCCTGGGGTGGTGTACAAATACACCAAAATACTATGACAAAATAGGAAAAATCCTGCTTCCCAACAGCACTGAACCCAGGGCAAATAACCTTTGTGGAAATGGCCACAGTCTCAACACAACTGCAACTGCCTACAGTCTAACAGTAACCCTATCTAACCTCCCTTCTACTATAGCTCAACACTGCACAATAAAGACTACTTCCTTGCCAAAATAGGTGGCACTGCGTAAGGTAACTTATAACTAATGATAATAAGATATGCTAAATAAAATTTGACTAGTTCATTATTTTAAATAATATTTGCATGGTTTACGAAGTTGACATTGCTGGACCCCATTCACCTTGTCGAATTATACTTGCAGGCTTGGGGAAATGCATTTTGAATTGGAGAAAGCTAAGGACATCTAAATAAGAATGACATCATCTAGAAATACATTGGGTTTGAATAGTGATAATCGTGCTCCTAGAAAATCAAACAATTGGTGAGGCTGCTGAAATACCAAGAACAGAGACTGCTTGCATTTACAAAAATATTAGTATAAAAATTATATACTTACGGATACAACACAATCAACTACAGGTCTCTTAAGGGCATTCTCTGCAGTTTCTTTTAGTTTTGTGAGGAGCATTCCTGTTATCTGTTCAATGGTGAAAGTTCGTTCTTCTTCCATATACATAACCTTTTGGTGTAAATAAAAATGAGGGCTTGGTATAAGAAGGAGCAGTGACTCAACCCTGCCACAAATCTTGTTAGTCTTTAAGGTGCTACTGGACTCTTGCTCTTTTCTACTATAAAAGATTTAAACTTTCAAGAACATCTTTAGTGGTATTTTACTAATGCCAAATTTAGGCTGAATTCAGATACCATACTTAGTTGTGGTTAAGTAAAACTGTACATAAACCTGGCTTGTTGTCTGCCTCACATACATCTCTCAAGCTTTTGTCTCATGCGGAGAATCCTTGAGCATCCATGTCATACAAATGGTTATATGTGCCAAAGGAATGCAGCTGCCGCATGGGTTAATTAAAGTCAGTGAGGGGATGCAGGAGAGCTATCTGAAGTTCTAATCCTGGATTAAACTCTGGTTTAGAATCCCAGTCAGCAAGAGGCCCCAACTCTGGTTAACTCACACATCTGCAATTGTTAACTGATATTAGTTTTAACTGCAATTCTCAGCACAAGAAGGGGAAGGAATAAAGCATGTGCACAAGCTGGGCAACAAACCAGGTTAGTGCACTGTCATTTAAACACAATTAAGTGTGACATTTGAATGCAAGTCCTAAACATGTAGAGGTTTCTTCCCTATTTTGAAAATAAACATTAACGTTTCACTCATTTTTTAATATTTCAAAATAAGTTTGACTACAGACCATACTTTGAAACTAAATAGTAGACCTTGTAAAAATGTACATTTCACATCAACCTGATTTTACATCAAAAAAGGAAACACACCCAATAGCAGTTTAGAGTCAATTTTCAAAACGTGTTCAAGATGGCTACCATTTCTGAAAATAAAACATTTATTTCTATTTTACTTATCTGATTTTTCTGCGGTGCTACTCCGATGGACTGCACTTTTAAAAACTTAGAAGTGCTGTGTAAACAGATAAAGGACTGTGAAGGGTTAATTCTTCACAGAGCCAGAGAGCCTTGAGTGACAGGCTGTTCCAAGAGATCTGATTGGTTAGCAGCAGCTCAGCAGAGCGAGATTTTAGAACTGAATGCTGAGGAGGAGAAATCATTCGGAATTCAGCCCTGATTGAAAGCAGTTTAACACAGACAGGAGAACTGTGGAAAATTGGCAAGGACAAGTCAGTAGTTAGACAGAGACTCCCATTTGGGCCAGAGGATAGATCTTCTATGGAAAGAAGAATTTCCCTACCCAGTCAAACACGGAGTTAGCTCTGAAGGTGATCCCTGGCTCTGGTCTGGTTAGAAACTGCCTTTAGATACCTTAAGAGTCCGTTAAAAACTCAAGATGAGTACTGGTTTTTCAAGGGAAGAGGGTTGGGTACTGGAAAGTGTGTACCTGCCTTCTGGAAACCGAAAGAATCAAAGAATACTTAAAGAAAGTGTACTGGAGTGTTTGGAGAAAACACTGGAACAAAGGCCTCTCAACATAAAGATTTAAGTCTCTGTGAAAAGCTTAAGAAACTCCCGTTAGCCTGAAACATAAGAACTAAAGTTTGTGCATGTACTGATTATATCTCAGAGTTATCTACATTAACTCAGGAATTTTACCTCTGATTTCACCTGACCTTTCCCCTCTATGTTGAATACAATCTTTTGTTATTTTGGAATATAAGCATCAGCTCTAAAGTCTAAGCTTTTAAAAGTGCAGTCCATCACAGCTACCATTTCCATAGTAAAACTGCAATGCATTTGCACAGGCAAATGCCATGACCACACACTTTAAAGCAATCTTTCATTTGTTGTAGAGTTGACTCACCTTGATACCAACTGAGCCTGTCGGCAACTGGGCAAGTTCATAAGCAAGCTTTGTTTTTTCATCTTGAACAAAAGGATCCAAAAACGCACGTCCATGAAATCTTTTAAAACCTTGTACTGCATTCTTTGCATTTGAAATTACCTAAAAGGGGAGAAGAGTTCAGTCCCATCTGGCAGGGTTTCCTCAGTTCTACCAAAATCTAACATTTCTTCTTGTTCAATCATACTTGCAGTTATTCTGGTCTTACATGCAGTACATATAAACAGGGTTATTCAAGAAATATTTAATGTCCATGATATAAAAACAAAGTAATAGGATGCACAGCTAAAAACTATTCAAAGTTATACTTAAGGAATATATAGAAAATTATAACCTTGACAGTTATACTTTTACTTGTTCTTCAAAAAAAGTGGAAGTGGAATGATTTTCCTTGAAGAATAAGATACAGTCTTACTCAATGAACTACTGCACAATAAAATGGAGAGCATAGGATTACCTATATATCTCAGTCCTAATGACCCCTTATCCCCCTTTAGCTCTGCTCTTTTGTATGAATGGGAAAGAAGCAATGCTCCCTCTAAGCTGTGGAGTCCAGAGAGCAAAAATTCTACTTTGGGAGCTACTGGCATTAAAGTTGTGAGCGAGCGATTTTGGCTACTGCATAAATTAGTTTGTTCTGGAGCCATCCTTCCTGAGCTAAGACTAAAATGTGTGAGCCGGAGGCTAAAAAAAACGTGAGCTAGCTCATACTAACTCAGCTTAGAGGGAACACTAAAGGCGTACAAAGGAAATAATGGCTGCACAGCTCCTTAAAGCAAGTTTTAAGGCCCTCAGGGTACCACCAAAACCCTCACACAGATAGCAAGATATTGTCCATCATTCCTGGATAACATCTGATACTGTAAATGCACCTTTAAGCAAAAAGCTTAAGATACCTACAGTGCCTTCTTAAGCAGATTTACATTTTATTGGAAATCAAGGGTCTCAGAAAGATATAACTGCAAGGGACTTCCATTTGCTTTATATTTTTAGACTTACAGTAGTAACTCAAAATTTAATACTGTTTGAACATATGTATATTCTACTGGATGTTGAAGCCCAATGTATTTCAGCTCTAAGCAACCATAAATTCCAGCTGTGAAAGTCAAGCTTCTTATTGCCAAACCACAAATTTAACAGAAAGTGTGCCAAATTCATTCATTCATTTTCATTCATTACATTTTTATTCCACTTTTTCAACCAAAGAATAGAGTTCTTGAACCAAGTATCTATTGCAGGGTCCTCAACCTTTCTGAGCTGGCAAACACTTTTTAGAATTTTGAGAAATAGTGAGTGAAACCATGAAATACCTGCCAAGATACAGGGCCAATCAAAAATGGTGTGTGTGGGGGGGGGGGGGGGTCACAAAATATTGCGAGGTTCCAACAATCCTCGACAAAGGCAGCTACTTCCAAATGGCCATCCCCTGAAGATGCAAAGTTGAGGCTTCCTGGGTTCTTCTGAAGGTTCTCATACACCAACAAGGTAGAGGAAAACTGAAAATGCTTCCTTGTTTTGGAGACAAAAATCTGTCTTTTCAGTTTCCAAAGTAAGAGGAAAGTTTGTTCCTGTGCAGCCACAGGGATAAGTTGCCAAGCATAGTGGCAAGATCTACATCCATGTCCAAGCTGAGGGCATATGGCTATGATGCACCTCCCTGGGATGAGATTGGTGTTTTAATAGTATAACCCAAAACACCTTTTTCTTTTCTACTCAAGGATTTTTTTTTATTGTATTCCCCTGAACTCAAGAAGCAAATACACACCAGCAGGTTTCATGCTGTTAATGTTTAGATCAGCAATTCCCAGTGCCAATCTCCAGCAATTAAAGACACAGTGAATTTTTTTTTAAAGTCACAACTTTAAGATACCTTTATTTGTGTAAAAGATAAATTGCAGGCACCCAATAAGTAATTATGATAAATATGTTCCTAGCGTTCAGTAAGAATTAATGCCAACCACGAAGTGTGGCGCTTCTCATGTATGAGGACTAATAAATACAGGATACATCTTTTGAAGTTCACAATGCAGTTCAACAGACCCTCCAATGTTTGTACATGATCACAGAAAAAAGACATAAAAAGCAACGGAGGGCACGATACAGTTGCACAAACAAGGCAAGTCTACTATATATCTACGTTGAAGTATAACAAGCAGCTAAGCCACTGTAATTATTTTTTATTTAATTCATTTATACCTTGCCTATCTACCCAATAGGGATCCAAAGCAGTTTACATAATTCTCCTCCACTCCATTTTATCCTAACAACTCTGTGAGGTGGGTTAGGCTGAGACAGTGTGACTGGCCCAAGGTCCTCCAAGCAAGCTTCCATGGCACAAGTGGGCATTTGAACCTGAGTCTCCCAGAAACTAGTCTCACACACTTAACCACTGCACCATAAAGTGCAGGGTTTTTTTTTTCTTCCTGAAGTGCTGTTCCATTTGTGATCACATAAGCTCAGTGTTCCCCACTGTGGTGTCCATGGACATAATGGTATCCACTGGTGTCTCCTGTGGCACCCCCTGAGCTTTCAGAAAGTAGGTTGAGGCACTGGAATGCAGAGCTTGTTACTTCCATAGGAAGAGCAGGAAGACTGGTAAGCCTTTGACAACATACTTGGGCCTTTCTTAGCGTGCAATTCCACTCCACCTTCAGGATTTCCTTCTTCCTAGAAGGTGAGAGGAGGAAAGTATTTCATTTGGATCTGCATTCTGAGGCAGCTAGTTTGGGACCACCTCCTGTGGCTGCTATTTTGTGGTAGGATTTACCATTCTCTTTCAAAATTCAAAAGTGCTCACAGTCTGAATAAAGTTGGGGACCCCTGCATAAAACATTCCTGAAAGCACAAAATCCTTACTTGGCTTTTAGCTGCAGCTCCAACTGAACGATTCTTAGGTCCAAATGCTATACATGACCTAGAATGAAAAGAAATATGGTTTTGAAATAGTTGAACTATATCAGTTTATTTACAAATCAAAATAAATTCAAGAAGCTTAATGAGGGTCTAATAAAGCGGATCTATTTACAAAGATGCTATGTAATACTAGTCAACTCCATAGGAGTTCATCTTGATAAACTAAAGCTGCAACAGAGAAGCTATTAGTTTCTATAGATGTAAACTACTAAACTACTGAAAGATCAATGCAATCTATCCACAAGTTTCTTCTAAGTCAACATCCTCTGCTGTGTCTTACCTTGTCACTGCTGTACAAGCATATTGTAAGGAACAAGCAGGGACCCCTGAGAAATTTATGGAGCAGGGGGAGACTCGACCCACCCAAGCAGGACCCTGCTTCCTCCTCCTGGGATCTTTTGCAAACCCAAAGATTCTCTTGCCCTGTGTCAGTAGTTAAATGCCCCCACCTGAATATTACCTTATTTTGTGGATTTTTCTAAGGCCATATTCAGAATTAGATACAACATCATATTGGAAACAGTGTAAAGAAAAATATTACTTTTTATGCAGGGGGGAACATTAAACAATATACTGTTTACAACATTTGGAGAATACCTGCCAAGAATCTAAATGTTTATTAATGTAACCTGGTCTTCAATAGAAATTATATAAGCAGTAAACTGAATACTTCACTCTCACAGGCAACTGCAAAGCCGAGCAACCATAGCTAATTCATACGCAAATCACTGTTGTCTAATTTAAATATAAACATATTGCTTCTTTGAAATACTCACAGATTGAAAAGGGTTTTTTTTTATATAAACACAGGTTTCACCATAAGCATCAGCATACTAAATAATTCAGCACACTGCTGCTTCACCTCTCTCCAAGTTGCAAGTGTTACTGACTGCGCCCCAAACTGAGATGTGAAGGCCCGGGGAAAAACTGGGAAAATTCGTAAGTCTCCTTCTGATCTTTTTCCTCCAACCAGCAAGGTGGGCAATACACTCCTTTCCCCCCAGTCCTTGAGTAAATGTGTCACAATGCTTTGAGAGACAGGTGAAAAGATCAACCATATCAAGTCAAAAGGACAATAGAAGGCATGCAACTGCTGAGAAATAATGAAAGCCCTGACTGCTTCCCTCATGAAGATTAGGTATCTTTCTAGATGCCAAAATGCATCTTGGATTTAAGAGCTAAATATGTGTCTAGAATATGCCCACCTTGCCTTTAAAAGTATCTCACTCATTTTAAAAAGAGAAAATATTTAATAGGTGGTTTTCCCCCCAGTATTCCCCAGAATTCCCACTGCTCCAAAAAAAGTCCTCAATACTTCATATCTGTACTTCTAATGCATTTTATGCTTTATGGTATCTCTTAGCTTCTAGTTTTTTGTTTGCACTGATCTCCAATTCTGTAATTGTAGTCCTGCTGCTCTCTTTATTGGAGGTCTTTACTGTTCTTATGCTTCATAATCCACCTTGAGTCCCATTGAGAAAGGCAGGCTATAAATTAAGTAAATAACATTTCAACCAGAGTACATTTAAATTCCAGAAGAGCTGCACCAACAGAAATTATTACTTTATTGTGCCTTCCCTCCAGGGCAGTGCTCAAGGCTCTCCTCCCTTCTTTTCTCACAACTCTGCAAGGCAGGTTAAACTGAAAGCAATGGGCCCCATATCACCCACAAAGCTTCATGGCTGTGAGAATTTAATTGAATTTGAGTCTCTCTAGCCCTTGTCTAGCACCTACACCATATTGTCTCTCAGTTCCCTTGTCCTAACCCAAAAAGGAAGCTGCAGTTCTGAATTTACTACAACCAAATGTAGAACTTTTCAGTAACAAAGCTAAACTTGCCATACCAGCAAGAGGTTTCAGAGATATACCTACTGGCTGCATTCAGAAAAACGAACAAGAAAATGAATCAAGTCCGTGGGCTCCCTGCCCCATGAATCTAATTGTACTTGTTTAGAATCTTGCTTTAGGGGGGAAAGGCCACCATTTGTTGAACCACCCATTTTGATTGTCACAACAAATTGGAATTAGAGTGAAGACAGGAAGTATTCCAAAAGTGGGATGTGCAAGGGGAGAAAAGAAAGAGCATGCAAACCTAAGGACTTCTGCCTCATTCTTGTCCTGCACACATTTGTTCATTACATCTGAATGCTATCACTGTGTCAAACTAAATATGTCACACTATTATTGTTGTTAGCCACCTTGGCAGAATGAGCAACAATTTCTTCCAAGCAAGTAGTTTGCCAAACCTGCAACACAAGCCATTATGTTACACATACTGGCATACGAAGAACAGGCTTCTTCTTCAGTATCATGGGCAAACAAGAAAGCACAGATGTTTAGGAATACACTTCCAACCTTGCAATTCAGGACTGTAACCCAACATAGGGAACTTGTATCTCTAAGATGGCAATCCTAGCTTACGTTGAAGAAGATTATTAAAGTCAGTGAGACTTAATAGCTTTAGGAGTGTGCTGTAAGTTTATTATAGTGAAAGTCAAAATAAATCCACTATGCAAAGGGACACAAGATTTCTTTAAATATTTCCCTATTTAATTTCTTTATTGCCAAATTGATATGAACTAAGCTTGAAGTATACGAATAACAAGTGAAAGATCTGTGAACCCTGATTACAATCTTACAGTCACATGAAGATTACAGATGGCAGGTTCTTGAGAACTCATTCCTTGAGGCTCCTGTGATAGTATGCTGACACAGTGGACATACACTACCTGATAACTACAGCAATTGGCTGAGAGAGGTATGGCATCCCATATAAAGAACCTCTTTCTTATCTGCCAAAACACTGGCAAGGCAGTATCAGAAAATAAAGGGAAGAAAGGAATGGAGTGAGCTACTCATTTTACCAGTGTGAGTTACTAAGTCAAGTTCATCAAGAAAAAGAAAGAAATCTAAAACAGCTTTTCCAGCTTCTCTATAAAAGAGCATGCACTAGAATTCTGGTGCTTGGCATGATGCAAAGCACTCAGGTATGTTAATAGCCACTCATCTCTTTACCTGTAGCCAAGTAATATTTGCCTCCAAATGAGCAAGGAAGCAAGTTTACTTTACTTTTCAGGCTACTGACCTGCTGTAAGTGATTAATACAGATATGTATGGGCTGACAGTCTTGTAAAAATGGGATAATGTGGCATTTACAGAAATTATAAGGCTGATGGTAAAGCACATTCACAACATGCCAAGTTTAATCACATCTGGCCACTTTCATCATATAAATTTTGACTGTGATTTGACACCACAAACTGAAGTCACCAAGCGAGAATCAGACAAGTTACTAATACTTTACCACACACCAAAGTACTACAGTTCTCTGGCAAATGGAACTTACAACTGAGAGATGCATGCTAGAGAGTAAGAAAATAGAGAGTAAGAAAATCAAACCTCAAGAACACACTACCTTTGGAATTAAATACCCCCTGTCCCAGCACCCTACATTTTAACAAGGTTAATTTAACACAATCAAAAATAGCATATATAAACTCACAATGGGTCAGAGTGGGACTGAGTCATGAATTTTAGGGAGGCATAATCAAAACATTAGTAGATCACGCAAGACGGATATGTGAACCGCACTCTCTCAACAATGAACTAAATCATCTAAACCGCGCACTTCAAGCAAATGGCAGGAGTATACTGCATACTGTGCAGTTGTGAACAGGTTTACATCGGGACCACACAGCGTAGCATTCACACAAGAATAAAAGAACATGAAAGACACTGCAGACTGGGCCAACCTGAAAAATCAGCAGTGGCTGAACATACCCTAACTCAAACAGGACACAGTATCTTATTCCAAGACTCTGAAAGGCTGGACAATACATCCAATTACCATGTCAGATTACACAGGGAAGCCATTGAAAGTCATAAACATAAACACAATTTCAACAGGAAAGAAGAGAGTTTAAAAATAAATAGGGCATGGTTTCTTGTCCTGAAAAACACAAAATGCTCTACATCTTACATATTGCCCTTCAGATAAAATTAGAATTTCAACAGCCAATCCATATGCAAAAGAACCTCCTCAGGAAAGCTCCTCCATTAGCATGTCACAGCCTGGGGAACTCCTACAAGATAATGGCTCAGCCCTACCCCACCTTCCTGAGTAGATATAAATTACCTGCCTACCATTTTTCTTCTCACCTTGACACAAAGAGTACTTCATCTTTTTGTGTTATACCTCTGAGGATACCAGTCACAGCTGCTGGCAAAACGTCACATCCTACAATGCCAAGACCACGGCCATACAGCCCGGAAAATCTACAACTAATGAATTCCGGCCGTGAAAGCATTCAACAATATACTTAATAATAGTTTAAGCAAATTAGGCATGGGCTGCTCTTCCATGTTATTTGAAATAGAGTTGTGGGCTGTGGGCTCAGTGATAGAGCATCTGCTCGGCATGCAGACGGTCCCAAATTCAATCCCTGGCATCTCCAGTTAAAAAGATCTGACAGCAGGTGATTTAGGGTACAACTATACTCAAGATAGCACCGCTAGTTTTCAACAAGATTAATTTCTAATAAACACAATACTTTAGAGAGTGAGCTGCAAACTGAGATATCCTACCCTACCCTTAGTGCACATAGATTAATTTTTGCCATCTGAGAGGCAGGGGGGAAGTTGAAATTAGAAAATAAATGTCATAGTGAATAGAAGGGCATTATCTGGTCAAGAGCATGATCACAAGAGTACCAGCATCTTTGGATATTGAGTTAAATTTTATAACATTGAAAACACTGAATTCTTGGAAGGGAGGGAAGTTGCGCTCTGCTGATGGACACCCCCTCCATCCACAGAGACCTTCAGGTGGAACCAAATTTTCAATCAGAATATCTTTTAACAGAGAAGCTTATTATAGCTTAAGTTTTAAAAAAAAACAACACGAAAATAAAATGAATTTTAAAGGAAATCAAATTATGTTTGATTTTTTAAATTGACAGTTCATATTCACATGGGCACCAAACTGTTTCTGAGTACATTTTTGCGTGTCTCAAAGAGCAACCAATATCCCAATCTACCTTAGGATTCTCAAAAAACACCATTGGCTAAAGTATATAACATTCAGACGTGTTGTTAATCCAGTTACAATAACTGGGCAGATGTGATTCTTGAAGGAAAACACCAAAAGGTTTGATTAAAAGAGGGAACTGGCACCACATGAACGCAAGCATTATTTTTCTTCATATTAACTGGAACAAAACTGGAGATGAAGAGGCAGAAGGGAAGATATTTTAATATAGTTCACCCCAGGTAAATTCAATCTCATCCTTATATAGCTTAATATTGTACCACCAATCCCTGCCATGACACCCTAAACAATAATGTAGCTAGGAGAGAACATTCAATGTGCGCAAATACAACTAACTAATCCTGGTAGTAACAGCAATAGATTTTGTGGAAAAGAGTCTCTACAAACATTTCTTGTTTGAGAACTTCTGCTAATTCATTAATACAAATTTAGTGTTATGCACAAAATACTCCGTCTAATGAACAATTTAAAATTCTGCCAAGCAGCCTATAACTGGTCTTGAAATTTTAAAAAATCTAATATATAGATGTCTGCTTAGTGAGGACCCACTACTTGCACCAGATGAAGTGGTTTCTACTGCAGGAAAACGTATGCTTTTTAGCCTTTAAGGTACTACTAAACTCCAGTTTATTTGTACTGTACCAAACTAACACAGCATGTAGATATTCACTGTGTGAACCAGAATAGTGTACTAGAAAACCACTGATTTGATCCAGCATAAAGTGAACTGTCGATTCACAGCCCACTCATGGCAACCCTATGAAGTTCCATTATCTTCCTCTGCATAGCAACCCGGTCTTCCTTGGTGGTCTCCTGTCCAAGTACTAACCATGAACAATACTGCTTAACTTCAAAAATTCGAAGAGCCAATTGGGCTAATCTGGCCTATTAGGACTTCTAGAACAGCTGCTCTTATGTTTTTTTTAAAAAAATGGCAGGCATAAGCTGTATCTCCTTCTCCCTCCAGAGCGTCTCAACATGAGTCTTCTGAAAAGTATCACTAATAGTCCTACATGTTGCATTTTATACTTACGTTTATTTTCTTTTACAGCTTCTGACAAAATACACATTAAAACAGCTTTATGTAGGCATCACAAATACACATACCACGGATAAACAAATTAAGTCCTGTGCCAAAAAAAACAGGTACACACCTGAGAATATCAACCTTAACCCCAGTTAAGTGCCTATTTATGAATAATTTCAAGATGATAAGTAACAAACAACTTCTGACATATTCTTGAACAAATTGATTTTGCAATAGAAATCTTTTAACACATTAACGAAAGTGGGAAAGCCAGGCTAGCTGTCTGGCAGGAACGGTGTAAGGCCTGATAAAGTTAGTTGCTTGCTACTCTGTTACAGTTACTCAAAGTAAGGACATGACCAGAGACACAGCAGCCTGAGAGTCATAGCAAAGAGCTAGGAGAAAGATCCACTAGTGGCAGAGACAGAGAAACTCATGCTCTGAAGCCCCACCCCTTTTTAAATTGTAAGCCACTTTAGATCCCTACTGTGTGAAAAAGCACGATGTAAAATGAATGCCTCCCAAAATTCAACAAACATTGAGCACTATCACACTTAGAAGAAGCTTCGTCCCCACCCTCTTCGTATTATGCACATCTCCCGAACTAATGTGCACAGACCGGGTTGAACCATTCACCATCTTTCTCTAGGCTCACCCACGTGGGGGAAGGGCACTTCCTTCCCCTCCAAAGCGTAGTGGCTTTTATTACGCACTGAATCAACGTACAGCCGCCACTTTTCTTTAAAAAAAAAAGATTTTGCTGTTCAGTGTGGAAAACCACCTGCTCCTCTTAACCAACCAACCGACAGACAGACAGTAGGATCCATGGCTGGGCTAGCCCCTTTTCCTAAAAACTTGACTCAGGCTGTCTAGGTTAAAAAGTTCGCTTCGTTATGTCTCTCCCCCCCCCCCCCCCCGCCGCCCCTTGGCGCGCCCCACCAGCCCCACCGAGCCTTCTCTGTCGGCCTCTGCCCGCAGACACCCGCCCCTTAGCCGTCCCACAGTGCCCGTTACTCACGGGGTGCACCGGTCACTGTACTCGTTGGCGACCGTCTCGATGCCCCCCGCTCGGGCCACGGCCACATAACAGCTCTGAAAGCCCAAATCGAACCCCACCACAGACATGCTGAGAGAGGGAGCAGTGCGGGTCGGGAGGGAGGCGGACTGAGAGGGCCAAAGGAGCGGTGGAGGCTTGGAGCCGGCCGCTGGACAGGAAAGAAAGAAGGCGGGCAGGGGTGGTGGTGGACGAGCGACGCCGCGAGGAAACGTCCCGTCCGCCGCCGACCCTCGGTTCACTCAGAGCGACCGCGGCCAAGACGGACTGTTTAAATAAGCGGCGGCGCGCGACTCCTCACGATGAAGGGGCGGGGGGGGGGAAGCGAAGCGGCAGCAAAGGAGAAAAGAGAGATCTCGAAAGATCCTGTCCTGTCCCGTCAAGGGGCGGGTGGGAGAGCACGATTGTCTCGCGAGATTCCCCTTATGTAGGCGCGTTAGCGTCATCACTGAAAGTCTATTGCTCCGCCTCCAGCGATATGGTGTTTTTTTTTTAAAGACAGTTTAGGCAGGAAGGTGGGATATCCCGGTAGGCAATCCGCCAAACCCGATCTCTGCCATTCTCTGCGCGTGCCCAGATCATCTTTTTCGGATGTTCACAGAGAAAAACCCTGATCTGGTTAGCCCAGGCTAGCGAGATCTCGTCAGAGCTCAAAAGCTAAGCCCTGGTTGGTATTTGGATGGGAGACCTCCAAGGCCTCACTGTGGCTAGGCTGTAAGTAGCCGGGTTAGTCTGAAGCAAAATCCAAAAGTTAAGTCAGATAATATTTACTTTCGTTAAGTCAACAGAGACCAAATTGGGTCTTCACTGCTATCCTGAACAGGCTTCTTCAAAATTCTTCTGAAGTCTATTCAATGGGACTGACTCCTGGGAAAGCTTTCTTGGCAAGCCTGTAGCCAGAGAATGGGTGTGGGTGGGTGTGGATGAGTACATTGGTGGTTAATCCTCATTATTTATTTTCTCTGCTTTCTCCCCCCCTCCCAGGCTTTTAAAAATCAAGACTCTTCAGCCCTGCTAACTGCGTTCTAGCCAATTGCATAAAGAATGCATATCTGGAAGCTTAATGACAGAAATCATACCTTTTTACCTCAACATCTTCCTTTTTATATAGAGGATTTACACTTGAAAGAGTTGTGACAGATTTCACACCAACCCCTAGTGCTGATCAGAGGTGTATGGCAAATCACTGATGGGTCCTGGCCCCCCTTTTGCACCATGGACCTGGTTTTTGGGATTCTTGGGATTGTAGTCTTAGTTTCTGAGGAAATGCTACAAACATATTTCATTTCCAGCTTCTTCTCTTTTAGTGGAAGTATCTCACGACTAGTATTTACCTGCAGCAATAATACTATTTCCCATTGTTCTCACTGTGACTGTGAGTTGTGAGGTCTGGAAGAGAAAACCTTTTTTCCCACCCCATGCTGTGTTCACCCAACAGAGAGTTCCCCAGTGAAGGGGATATCATCTAAGATACAAGGTGGATGGCATAAGATGGTCAGCATTGTCACTCAAGTTGATTAATTGGTGTGACCAATCAGAGGTTTACCTTCTGTTAATCAGGGAAGAGGTAGATGACAGTAAAGACTCCAGGACTGGGGATTCTTAAATACTGCAGGCTGCACAGCCCAAACCCAAGTATGAGAAGATAATGTTTTCTTCCCATTTGCATTCAAAGCAAGAAGACAGCTAAAGGAGGGACTATTCCCTCCTGCATGTGTGCCCAACTGGGCCAGGAAAATGACTGCTCTGTTTAGTATCCATGCACATTGTTGATCCTTCATCTTGTGCAGTGTGAAGGGGAATAATGGCTCTCTTGCTCTTAATTATTTTTTCCATTCTAGGAGACCTAATAAAATATTACAGTTCCATTCTTCCCTTTTTTATTATTTGATTTTCCCAACCCAGGGGTAACAATAAACAATAATAAGCACTGCTCTTTTTAAAGCTACACTTGATTGATATTGGGAGCAATCCTATGTGAGTCTACTCAGAAGTAAGTAACATGTTATTTAATTAGGACTACTCCCAGGAAAGTGTCCTTAGTATTGCAGCCATTGTAACATGCTCCATACTTCTCCAAGAAATTCCATGGGCAGCACTGCCCATGGCAGATGGAACACTGGATGCATTGCTCGTGATTGTTTCAATGACCTGATCTGCAATTTCTTGCTTTCAAACTGCTAGGTTGGCAGGAGCTGGGACCAGAGACGGGAGCTCACTCTGTCTTGTGGCACTCGGGTCTTGAACTGCTGAACTACCGACCTTCTGGTCTGCAGTTCGGTGTTTTAACCACTGAGCCACCACAGCTCAATGGGCATTATTAGTTACCATTTAACACTATATTGATGATAACATGCTATCCCTTTGTCTTGCACCTCCAAGTATTTAAAAAAAGACAATAAAAATACTAATTGAATTAAAGTGCCATCCTAAGGAGAGTTAAAAAGGTAAAGGTTCCCTTGCTCGAAAGCCAGTCGAATCCGACTCTAGGGTTGCGGTGCTCATATCCGTTTCAAAGCCGAAGAGCCAGCACTGTCCGAAGACGTTTCCGTGGTCATGTGGCCGGCATGACTAAACCCCAAGGCGCACGGAACGCTGTTACCTTCCCACTGAAGTGGTACCTATTTATCTACTTGCAATTTCTTGCTTTCGAACTGCTAGGTTGGCAGGAGCTGGAACTAGAGACAGGAGCTCACCCCGTCTTGCGGCACCTGGGTCTTGAACTGCTGAACTACTGACCTTCCACAGCCTGCAGTTCAGTGTCTTAACCACTTGAGCCACCGCAGCTCTAAGGAGAGTTACACCCTTATAAATCCATTGAATCCAGTGCAAAGGGCTTAGAAAGGTATGACCCAGCTTACTATGGGACAGTGAGATACAGACAGAACAGTTCAGGTTACCATATTACCATGATCATGATTAGCAGCATTATAAAAACTATATCAGCCAAACGGTAATAATTCTTTTAGTCTGCTTGATTTTTAAAAAGCCATTGAAATAAGCTTTATACATATAGAATATAGAATTATACATATAGAATAAAGTTAGAGTCCAGTGGCACCCTTAAGACCAACAAAGCTTTATTCAAGGTGTGAGCTTTCGTGTGCATGCACACCTCGTCAGACGATGAAATGGAATTACATATCATAGTTGTATATATAGGAGTGGTTTGTTAAGTTAGCCTGCAAAATAGTGAGGACACATTTTTTAACAGATCAAAAGAATGACAAGCTTTGTTCCTGGTTATCATCTGTTTTGGTTCAACTGGGGTGGGGGACAACATAGGTAATAAATATGTTAGAACTGGAGATTGATGTGTCCTAATTTGTGAGAATCCTGTCCTTATACCCCATCCATCTCCTTTTAAGCATGGAGCTAGATTTTACAGCATCTTGGCTGTGCAGTGTTTTTCTTGTCCCCAAAACAAAGAACTGCATTGAAATCTAACACTCCAAATTACATTACATATTCAATTATATTCTTAATTGCTAAGAGTAGTAATAACATTTTGCTTCAATAAACCATAGAGTTACCTGACAGAATCGTTTTCCTGGGGTACAGTGTTATTTCAGAGGTCAACAAGATATTGCATTGCATTAGAATCACTATTATACTATCTCAGAAAAGAAAAGAAAAAGATCAAAATATAGGGGATGTATAGCCCTTCTTGGCGAGAACACATATGTGAGGATAGAATGAGTTAGCATGTGTAATGGGATAAGAAACCAATATCCCTGTTAAGTCCTAGCGGGGCATTTGTTCCGAGTGTTGTAATAACTTGTAATTCAGCTATTTCCCTTTCCATTCTGTTCCTGAAGTTCCTTTGCAATAAAACAGCTACTTTAAGGTCAGCCATTGAATGTCCTGAAAGGTTGAAGTGTCCCCCTACAGGTTTTTCAGTCTTGTGATTCCTGATGTCCGATTTGTGTCCATTTATCCTCTGGCGTAGGGTTTGTCCTGTTTGTCCTATGATATGTAATTCCATTGCATCATCTGATGAAGTGTGCATGCACACGAAAGCTCACACCTTGAAAAAAACTTTGTTGGTCTTAAAGGTGCCATTGGACTCTGACTTTGTTCTACTGCTTCAGACCAATATGGCTACCCACTTTGATCTATCTTTATATGTATGTATGTGTTAACATCTATCCACTATCTCCAAATTTGGCTGTTACAGAATTATTGCCACAAAATGAGTATGTTTACTGTGGCATCCTCACTTATTGGGGAGACGGTTTTACCTTTAAATGCACTCTGTGTACATGAACTTGGTAGATTTCTGCTGCCACCAGGAATTAAAAATTCCAAATCTCTCTCTTTTGGTAGAATGACCTAGGGTCTGGGCACTTCAGAGGACTATGTGGCCCTGAGGAAGGACTATTCTGATTGCTGGGATAAGTTTAAATGAAAAAATTATTTATTTAAGAAAGAACAAAATAGATTTTGAGGTGTTGCTGAAGAAAGGAACTTATAAATATAACTGGCAAAGCTTGGCGTCACAAACAGTCTCTCAAACTCCAAACTCCACTCTGTCAGGCTTAGACACTCAGTCTAATCTCTCTCTCTCATACAGATATAGCCACACAGGCTAAACTCTTTGTCTTATTAACACAGAATAGACTCAAACTGTCATAGTCACACAGACTAAACTGTTTGTCTTATTCACACAGAATAGACTCAAACTCCCATAGTCACACAGACTATGCTCTCTCTTCAAACTTCACACACAGAATCACCTCATAGACACACCTCCTCCCACACTCTCAGTCATCAGCCAATCAAATCACACTTATCTCCCTCTATCACTCTCCTTAAATTACTGCAGTCAAACTAAACATTTAAAGAAACACACACACCAAAACAAGAAATTATTACATTTACCAAGTCCATTTTGTTGTGATCTCATTTAGAAATTCCTAAAGGCTTCGCATTTCTCCACACTCTCATTATTACAGGACTCTCCAACAAAACCAGGGCTGCCAGAAGGAACACAGAAACTGTGTCCTCCAAGCTGATAAAAACCAATGAGCAAATGACCTGGAAGGTTTTTATAGTTGGTTAGTATCATATGATCCTCTCTACCTCTTGTTTTCCAGTGGTTCTGTGAAGATCTGGCAGGTTGCTCTGTAGTTCCTTTCTTTGGCCAGAGGTGGGTAGTAGTGCATAGGCTGAATCCTCACCTGACATTCCTTAAATACAAATTTTTGGACCTGTTGCATCTAACATCTACTCCAGTTGATAAATTGGGAAGAAGCTGTTGGGTTTTCCAGTAACGGCCTTCTCAGAGGATCATTTTTCATGCAATAATTGTTTTTAATAGTGTTTTTCAATAGTGTTTTCTATTGAGAAAAAAGTATGTATTTGCAGCACTTTAACCACAATAGTA